AAGGCGTATCGATGATAATTACAGAGACTTCTAATGTTTTATTTAATTATATTTCCATTGTTTATAACAAGCACATATTCTTTTTGGAATCAGAAAAAAATGTAAAAATAAATAAAACCTCAACAAAAGTACATACATCGTGTTTTAAGGTATTTTGAAAACAAATTTATTTCAGTCTATGATGTAACTTAAATTTCTGTGCTCTGAACCAGAAGTGCATACTTTGACTTATGTTTATATGTATATATTGTATTTTTTAAAACACATGTATATTTTTCTCCAGAATTTCTTGATGGAAAAGAAATTAAAAATATAGAAAGACAATTCCTAATGAATTGGAAAGCATCCAAAGATGCCAAGAAAATCAGCAAAAAAAGGAACTGTAAAAATGAGGATACAAGCAACTCGTTCATAAGTAAGCACTCTGTCACTCATTAGCTGACCACTCTTATAGCAAAGGGAATATTCTAAGCAACAAAAAAATGCCAACAAATAAAATGGTTTTTGTTTAATATTTTTTTGTTTGTTTTATGGGGTTTTTAAAAACTGATTTACTTAGTTGTATATAAAGATAAGTACAATTTGTCTTATACTGGAAATTTTACCTATAATGTTTGTATATGAAAATGGTAGCACTCTGCACAAAAGCTGTGTGTGATTTTGTGTAAACATAGAGCCATGAGGGTGGGGAAAGAGGTATAATTTTATATCTGGCAAAAGTGCATCATATCAGCTATGTAAATTGTAAAACCTAAGCCACTAGTATATTTGTTTAGTAACAGTGCAAAAAGGCTGGATGTGGTGGCTCACTCCTGTAATCCCAGCACTTTGGGAGGCTGAGGCAGGTGGAACACCTGAGGTCAGGAGTTCAGGACCATCCTGGCCAACATGATGAAACCTTATCTCTACTAAAACACCAAAAAATTAGCCGGGCATGGTGGCAGGCACCTGTAATCCCAGCTACTCGGGAAACTGAGGCAGTAGAATCGCTTGAACACAAGAGGTGAAGGTTGCAGTGAGCCAAGATTGTGCCATTGCACTCCAGCCTAGGCAACAAGAGCAAAACTCCATCTCAAAAAAAAAAAAAAATAGTGCAAAAATCACATTTTTCATCAGGATAGAAAATAACAATGTATTGGCCAGGCACAGTGGCTCACGCCTGTAGTCCCAGCACTTTGGGAGGCCAAGGCAAGAGGATTATGAGGTCAAGAGATGGAGACCATCCTGGCCAACATGGTGAAACCCCGTCTCTACTAAAAACACAAAAATTAGCTGGGCATGGCAGCGGGTGCCTGTAGTCCCAGCTACTTGGGAGACTGAGGTAGGAGAATCGCTTGAACCCAGGAGGTGGAAGATGCAGTGAGCCAAGATCATGCCATTGCACTCCAGCCTGGTGACAGAGCAAGACTCCATCTCAAAAAACAAAACAAAAATGAAAAAATGCATCACAACCACATCTGCAGACTGTACCCCTTCTTATGCACATACCCCAACACCTGAATGTTTTGATTATAATATACCTAATGTTGTGTTACAAAGGACATACCAACCTCCTTTGCCTAACTAATGTAACAAAATGTAACTAAGAGTAATGTGTAAGTTATCTTTATTTTGGAACATCTAAGAACTGACTAGTCTGGCTGGGCACAGCACTTTAATACCAGCACTTTGAGAGGCTGAGGCTGGTGGACCACCTAAGGTCAGGAGCTCCAGGCCATCCTGGCCAACATGGTGAAACTCCATCTCTACAAAACATAAAAATTAGCCAGGCATGATGGCAGGTGCCTGTAATTCCAGCTACTTGGGAAGCTGAAACAGGAGAATTTCTTGAACCCAGGAGGTGGAGGTTGCAGTGAACCGAGATTCTGCCATTACACTTCAGCCTGGGAGACAGAGCAAGACTCTCTCAAAAAAGAAACAAAAGAAAAGAAAAGAACTGACTAGTCACAGATTTTTTAGCCTATGATTTTGGAATGAGCCTCCTCTTTTCCATGATAGAGTTCGAATGCTAATGTTCTTGTTCTACAACTGATTAAGGGAGCAGATAACGACATAGTGAAGGGGCTAGGCCAGGGGAATAGGAAAAGGGAAATGGGGATGCTGTACTGAGGCTTTATGCACAGATAGCCTATCGTAGGAGCTCTGTCATTCTAGGACAAGGTGTTTGACATGAGGAGGAACATGGGTGGAGAAGCATGGAGCCCTAGTGATTTTGCCATATCATATTCACTGAATACTATGGACCAAGTATGGTGGTTCACACCTGTAGTCCCAGCACTTTGGGAGGCTGAGGTGGGAGGATAGTTTGAGCCTAGGAGTTCAAGATCAGCTTGGGCAACACAGTGAGACCTCATCTATACAAAAACTATTTTAAAATTAGCCAGGCATGGTGGCATGTGCTTGTTGTCCCAGCCACCTGGGAGACTGAGGCAGGAGGATCACTTGAGCCTGGGAGATCAAGGCTGTAGTGAGCCATGATTGTGCCACTTCACTCCAGCTGGGGCAACAGAGCAAGACCCCATCTGAAAAAAATAAAGAATATAAACTATGGAAAATTATTAGGTAGAATGGGACTTTCTTAGTTGACAATATACTCATGAGTACATTGCAATATACTGTGTTGCAATGTGAATTTCTCAAGATCTGAAACTTCTAAAATAGTCAGAAAGCATTTTTCCTCTATTCATTGCTGGCTGGCTGTGAAGGGCAGAAATAGACCTAGGGTAAGGATTCTAGTATTTTACATATTTTCGGTATTACACCAAAGATGTCACCTTTTTAATATTTAATACTAGCCCTCACCCCAGAATCAGGCCAATTCTAAAAATAATGTAGTTTCTTTCATATTAACAGATTTTGAAAATTCTTCCTAATTTAGGAGCAACTGTATTAATTGTTAATATCAATGAAATTTTACAAAATAACACTATGTCTTTAAATTTAGAACTTTAAAAAAATTGTAGTCTACTAACCAAAGCAATCTATACAATGCAATCCCTATAAAAATTACATTCTTCACAGAAATAGAAGAAAAAAATACTAAAATGTGTATGGAACCACAAAGAACCCCAAATAACCAAAGCAATCCTGAGCAAAACCAACAAAGCCAGAGGCACTGCGCTACTAGACTTCAAGATATATTACAAAGCTATAGTAACCAAAATACCATGGTATTGGTATAAAAACAGAAACATAGACCAGTAGAACAGAATAGAGAACCCAGAAACCAATCCAGTTATCTATAGCCAACTAATTTTTGGCAAAGGTGCCAAGGACATACATTGGATCACAGCTCACTACAGCCTCAATCACCCAGGTTCAAATTATCCTCATGCCTCAGCCTCCCAAGTAGCAGAGATGATGGGCATGTGCCACCATGCCCAGCTAATTTTAAAATATTATTTGTAGAGATGAGATCTCACTGTGTTGCCCAGACTAATCTTGAACTCCTAGGCTCAAGCTATCCTCCTCTTCAATAGATAGTGATTGGAAAACTGGATATTCATATGCAGAGGAATTAAACCAGATCCCCAGTTCTCACTCTACGCAAAAATCAACTCAATCTGAATCAAAGACCTAAATGTAAGACCTGAAACTTATAAAACTACTAGAAGAAAACATAGAGGAAATGCTTCAGGACATTGATCTGGGAAAAGGTTTTATAATAGGACCTCAAAAGCACAAGCAATGAGAACAAAAATAAACAAATGAGATTATATCAAACTAAAAAGCTTCTGCCCAGCAAAGGAAACAAAAGTGAAAAGACAACATAAGAATGGGAAAAAATATCTGTAAAGTATTCATCTGACAGGATTATTACTCAGAATATACAAAAAAATGAAACATGTCAACAGCAAAAAAAACCAACAATCCAGTTTTTAAATGGGCAAGGGATCTGAACAGACATTTCTCAAAAGAAGACATACAAATGGACAACAAATATAAGAAAAATATGCCCAATATCACTAATTATCAGGGATGCAAATCAAAACCACAATGAGGTGCTGTCTCATCCCAGTTAAGATGGCTATTTACAAAAAGACAAAAAAATAACAACAGCTGGCCTGTTAACGGTGGCTCACACCAGTAATCCCAGCACTTTGGGAGGCTAAGGTGGGTCAGGAGTTCAAGAACAGCCTGGCCAACACAGTGAAACCTGTCTCTACTCAAAACACAAAAATTAGCAAGGTGTGGTGGCGCACGCCTGCAATCCCAGCTACTTGGGAGGCTGAGGCACAAGAATTGCTTAAACCCAGGAGGTAGAGGTTGACAATGAGCTAAGATTGCATCATTGCACTCTAGCCTGGGTGACAGAGTGAGATGTAGTCTCAAAAAAAAAAAAAAACAAATGCTGATGATATTGTTTGACTGTGTCCCACCCAAGTCTCATCTTGAACTTTAGATCCCATAATTCCCATGTGTTGTGGGAGGGACTGGTGGGAGATAACTGAATTATGGGGGCTGTTTCGCCCATACTGTTCTTGAGATCTGATGATTTTATAAGGGGTTTCCCCTTTTGCGTGGCTCTCATTCTCGCTTGTCTCCACTATGTAAGGTGTGCCTTTCACCTTCTGCCATCATTGTGAGTCCTCCCCAGCCACGTGGAGCTGTGAGTCCATTAAATCTCCTTTTCTTTATAAATTACCCAGTCTCAGTTATGTCTTTTATCAGCAGCATGAAAATGGACTAATACAGCTGGTGAGGACACAGAGAAAAGGGAGTTCTCTCACACACTATTGGTGGAATGTAAAGTTGTACAACCACTATGGAGAACAGTATGGAGGTACCTCAAAAAACTACAAATAGGGGACTGGACGTGGTGGCTTGCATCTGTAATCCTGGTGCTTTTGGAGGCCAAGTCAGGAGTATCAATTGAGACTAGGAGATCAAGACGAGCCTGGGCAACAAAGCAAGACACCATCTCTTTTTAAAATTAGCTCAATGTGGTAGTACACACCTGTAGTCCCAGCTACTCAGGAGGCTGAGGCAGGAGGATTTCTTGAGCCCAAGAGTGTGAGGCTGCAGTGAGCTATGATCAAGTCACTGCACTCCTATCTGGACAACAGAGCAAGACCCTGTCTCTTGGGAAAAAAAAAAAAAAAAAAGCAAAACAAAACAAAAAACCTGCAAATAGAACTACCAGATGTTCCTCAAATTTAAAAATAAAATTCCAAAAAAAAGAAAAAACAAACAAAAAAATCATGAGACTACCATGAAATAAAAATAAAAAAGAAAATTCCTGGCCAGGTACAGTGGCTCACTCTTGTAATCCCAGCACTTTGGGAGGCCAAGACGGGCAGATCACAAGGTCAGGAGTTTGAGACCAGCCTGGCCAACATGGTGAAACCCATCTGTACTAAAAATACAAAAATTAGCCAGGCATTGTGGCAGGTGCCTGGAGTCCCAGCTACTCGG